CCATGCTGAGCCATAATCACGACGATATCTGAATTGAAATATTTACTTATAAGTAACAGTTCACATTCATGTGACGACTAAATTACTCCACAAATAAACTTTCTTTAATCAGGTATTGTTTTGCTTCAGACGTATACGGGTTGTAACATACATTACACTACTCAGACCTCTAACTCATACCTATATGATGGGCACTCTACACAGTGTGTTTCTATAGCCATTTAGACTACACAGGTTATTGTAAATGTATGAAGCCGTTTAGTCGTATATCAGAATTGTCGTAGTATATAGTTTCAAACACAATTAATAATTGAATAGGCAGAATGTGTATCCTCAATACGATTCATTCGTGACTTTGGTTCAGCTGACCGAATGTGAACAATGGTAGGAGCAGGCGAACTTGACGCGAACAGTGATAACATTAGTTATAGTAGTTTCTAATATATTTCGAGTACAATTATAACTAATATTAACAAATTTCTTTGTTAAGAGGTTTATCTGATCTAATGTTCTACCTCTGGATGTAACTAGAAACATGTGATGTCTATATCAACGTGCAATGCAAAATATGTTCGATAAAATAGTGATGCAACTTCCTAATCATAAACATGATATCTGGGCAGCAGTTTTGTTAAATCAAACATCTTGTACCACAATATGTTACGTGCACAATAATTCATTAACATTTTTCACAAACGACGTTTAACAAAAACGCAATTGACAAAATTAGTAATTTAGTTTTCAAAATATTTCTAATTTTCGACATTTCGAGTTTTGATTATAAAAGTACATTTGATCAATGAATATGGAATACGTCATGCCACGTAGATCTGTCAATCGTTCCTCTCTGACAACCCTGTTATCATCTGCCGGAATTACTATTGGTATGGAAATCACAGCTGTAGAGACTAGGAATGACAAGTAAACAGGAGGATGATCTGAATGTCAAATATGAACAAGATATAATACATTTTAACAATCCAGAGTATCACATCAGCGAGTTCAACTGAAGATTCAACAACTCCGAGTATCTGTATACCTACCAGGACGCAACGTAGCGAGTAAGGTAGGCTCATTATATTGTATGTATCCTAATGATTCGTTCCAGTTTGTGCATATTTGTACGTCCGAGCCACGTTTTACAGCTCGTCAAAATCAATCCCTTACCATTTTATAACCCAATGAGCGTTACTGTTGTAGCTGCCATTACATTTTGTAAAACGCAATTAACTTCCTTCATGAAAATCGTTGCTTTTCACAATTCTGTTCTCAAAATTGTCGATTTTATTGCATTCGAATTCAATTTAGGTTGCTATTTCCCGGCTCAAAAGGCATCCGAATATTTCATTCTGGTTTTACAAACACTCGAAACTTTTTAAAAAACAACGTCTTTGTGCAATTTGGAACGTTAAGAGTACCCCCCCTGGCTAAGTGGTAAGTGCCCGGTCTAAAATTTGATAGTGGAACGATACAAAAGCAACCTGTCTGTTCTATGCGCTTTGACTGTGGCAATTCTTGCATCATTGTACTAAAACATGACGCTAAAGGCAATTATAAATGACAGAGACACACGAACGTAGTTTACGGGAGCAAATACACAGTATTGACTTATTGCAATACTGACATAGAGTACTGATGCAACTGGTAATACATGAAATGTAACTGAAATCATGGGTATTTAAACCATCTATGCGAACGTGAAAGGAAACACATATAGGCGTGAACTATGCAACAACATTTCAAATATAGGCGACAAAATGAAGCCGAACTGTGATTGGTCAAAATTAAAAACTTGCGATAGGCTGCTCACTTCACCACCGCCAGAATCCGTTGTCGGTATAAAATGGAGGATGAATCAAGATAATTTATTGTGAATTTGACTCCGCTAAAGATATACACAAAGTATACACGGTGAGGTACGATGGTGAGGTAAAACCGCAAAACATAACACAGAAATACAACGACCAAAATAACGTACCGTCATCGACCTTGTGGTTGGGTTCATTACCCCAAAATACACAATATAAATAATGTATAGATATATTGGTATTGATATATATTCATACACAGTAATGCCAGGGTAGAACTTTGGGGTAGAACATGCACACCTGTAACAAACTTGCACGCACTTCAAGAAGCACAAGTTCATGTGGTCAACGAAATATTTAATATGGAATCATCTCAAATAATATTTGTAATGCAAATCACAATAAATGACTATAAATAATTAAAGCAATAATTACATTAACATTTAAATGCAAATAACCATCGTTAATGTCATAAACAACGTAATAAGTACACAATCTGTGAATACAATAAAATAACGTTTTACACTGTCACTTGGAGACTGTTAACATCAATCACTGTACCGTAACGACGAACTGAATAATGACGTAGAGATAACGTTATAACGATAGTCATTATAGTTGACCAAGTTCCATACACAGTGTTCGTTGTATCACACGATTTAATGTCTCGATGATGGTTTGACAATCTCCTAGGAATTTCGTACAATTTCGATGGTTTGACAAATAAGTTGTAGCACGTCTATGGAGATGTAGAATACTATAACTCCGGGAAGCCCATGTAGTTAGCCAGGAACTGGTAACAAACTTCTCAAGATGTTAACTGTGACAGGCAGCAGGGAGAAGTGATCCCTTTGTTTCATGAAGTGATCCCTTTGTTTCATGTCATGTGACAAGTTAATTTATTCAGGAAGGTTTAATTTTCAGATGGGTTAGTCTATAGAGGGACTTTGGTCACACTCATTAAAGGAGAAAAGTGTCAAACACAGCGCCATCTCTGGCCAAAATAATTAAACTTTATTAACAAATTAGGCAAAATGTACGCTCCAAGAAAGTTAAGTTGCCGAGAAATGACCCTGTGACTGCTCCAACCGGGTAACAGTGTTTAAATAACGCGTGGATACACTGCTAGTGTTTTAGTGCCGGTTATTGTGAATTTGTAACATATATGTGACATTTAAAGCTTCAGAGTCAAAAAAACGTTTTGCTAATAAGTGTGATGATGATCAGAGCGCATTGTTTTCGTTCGTGCACGAACTTTAGTGTAGAGACAATGAGAAATGAGATAAAAGAACATTTCTAAAAACTCGCTATTTGTTGATCTTTGGTCTGACTCTATCGTGTATTGCAATTGAAGTGGAATTACAGTGGGCACAAATAGGGAGTTGAGGTACCCTGACAGATTGACTTATAACAATGACCCTATGACATTTAGATGAGCAATGAACGTATAAAACCCATTTTGTTTTAGCAAGTATTCTAATAGTTTCCATATCAAACAAAGTAAATATAATATATGAATATTTTTCAAAGCATTGCATTGTAGGCCCATCCTCTGTCCATTATCGTAATTGTCCAGCTAATTGCTCACAATTGTGTTGATTGAGACTACACATGGAAGTTTTGAGGCACAACCTCTTCCACTTATACTAACTGTGTTGAACACTGAATAGATAACCAATACAGGCAACATGCAACAGTGCTGATATAACATTTGTTGAATTCCAGGATGCAGGTGTATTTATTGTATTGCATAACAGTGTATCTGTGTGTCTACCATGTTATGGGGGCAAAACTGGACAATAAGGTAAATGAGTATTTTTAAATGTAACAATGGCATTTAAATACTGAACAGACAAATGCACGAACACGATATTTTCATTATTAAGCGTCAAAAAGAACAAATCAAAGAGAGTAAAATCTCACCACTATACCATCGATAATATGAGCATTCCAATACCGTGTAATTATTATTGTGTGACATCTTGTTGTATACTTAGTATGAAATGTGAAACTTTTTAGAATGTTTGAAAAATATTTTTTCCCACAGGAGTCAGTGCAAAAACGTGCAGGTAAGTAGGCCTTTTGGTGTCTATTTATTAATGTTTTTAAAAGCATTCTTCTAAGTATTGCTTGTTTCTAAAATTGAATTGTAATGTGTGCATTGTAAATTATTAATGTATTTTGCTAATTCAGGGTGTAAACATGTGGCATGTTTACAAATATTACTCAAAGATTGTGTCTAGAATAAGACATATATGTCCCTTCATGTGCATTCATTTTAACTAATAGAAGTTGTAGAAAAGTTTCACAATATTAAGTGTGTTAAGAATCGTTTCTAAAAAATGCCCACAATGACTGAATCCACTCTTTCTCTCCAATTGATAAAGACATTATTGTCTGTTTAAAAGTGGGATTGTCACAACGTTTTAATTTATTTGAATTGCACAAGAAGGGAATAGACCTCATCTGATTGCCATTGTTATATTAAACCATATACGTCTTTGTTTACTTAATAGAACGGGACAGTCTGTTATGTTTCGAAGACTCACAATCTAATGTAAGAATTACTACACCTGTGCCAAAACTAACTGAATTCACTTTCTGTCTAACGATGAGCACGACTAGCACCAATCCTGGTACCATGGTCTCTTATGCAGTACCTGGCACCGATAACGAGATAAATTTGTACAACTCTGGTTATTTGAAATTACTCATCAATGGTGTTTATAGAGAGACAAGTGGCGTTGCAGTCAATGATGGTGTGTGCCATTTCATCTGCTTCACTTGGACATCAGTGACAGGTCGCTTTGAGATATTCGTGGATGGAGTGTTAGCTGCATCTGGAACACTATCCATAGGAACACCGATTCAGGGTGGTGGTGTTCTAGTACTGGGTCAAGATCAAGACGTCGTTGGTGGGGGGTTTCAGGATTTTCAAGCGTTTATAGGAAAAATGACGAAATTCAACCTGTGGAATCGTGTGCTTACAAACCAAGAAATTATTCAAAAGCCTGACTATGGCAATATTTATTCATGGGACTTTTCAACCCTTTTGATGCAAGGAACTGAGAAAATCAGAAATGTGGATATATGCTGTAAGTGTTGTATTATTGAAACAAATAATATACAACTAAACATAAACACTATACTGCACTACATGCTACCCTGCGTCACGGATCATTAAATTAGTGTGCATAATGTCGTCAATTGACACAAATCTCAGATTGGAAATCAAAGATTGGACATTTTTGGGTCGGACTATTTGTCGAAAGACCTGAGTTCCAATTCTACCTGTGGTTGAATACTAATAAGTGTCGATCTCCACCCTGGTTGAGTCTTCTACAGACTCATTGGGAAAGGCTGGTTAAGTTAAAAATTCGCAGGAGCTCCTTTTCATCTGGGCCTGGTTGATCACGGCATAATGCATTAAGTTGCCATTTGATAGAAGAATGGCCGCACTACCCTGCCATGTAGTTCCAACCATGACTGTGGTTATTGTGGCACTTTATATGAGCTCTTCCAATTTGAATACAATATCGTCTGACACACAAACATAAAAATAAAAAATAATGTAATAATTTGATTTTGTCAGGAAACTTATTGTAAATTATCACCTAATAAAAGTAAACGTTTATACTGACAAAGTTAATATTCAGATCGTCTTTCAACTTTTCAACAGCTGGCGCTGTTACATGTGATCCCCATTTCACCACATTGGATGGGCGTCATTACAGTCATCAAGGCGTCTGCTGGTACACCCTGGTGAAAGACAGCTCTAATCCTAAACCAGATTTCGAAATCACTGCTAAGTTTGAACCAAGAGAAGATCATCCTAATGGAGAAATCAGAACTCGAGTGGTAGCTATGAATGTAACTGTAGGCGATGACCATGCTGAAGTGGACCGACTTGACGTAGTTTCTGTAAGTAACCTGGAACAATTCAAAGCAACATTTGTTTTGCTAACTTTGTAACTACCAAATTGGTATGATTAATAAATATATAATCAAACATTATTGCTACATTAATTACACTTTTGTGTACTTTATTATAGAAACATGCAAAGGGAACACTGTCCAAGATACATATCATTCAATCTGATGAAAATGTCTTACTAAGTTTCACACTCAAAGATACTACTTTCAAGATTGATTGGACATTACGAAGACACATATTCAGCATTGATATATCTGGTCTTGATTATCAAGATAAGCTTTGTGGATTATTGGGTAATTACAATGGTGATAGCCATGATGACTTTCAGAAACCTGACGGTACTATGGCTAATGACGCTGTTGAATTTGGTGAGAGTTGGAAAGTGCCAGGAATCGAGTGAGTATAACACGCTATGGGGGTAATGGTTGAAACAAATGTGTTAAGCAATATTCATTAATCTTTTGTATGGTTGGTATACCTTTCTCGGATAAGTTATGTTAGCAGTGATGATACTGCTGTTTACCGTTCATCATTTTGGAGTCATTTCCCTGACATTTATTTATCAAATTCTTTTCAAACTTGATTGCAATCGTCATTTTTGTATTTTATTCAATCAAAAATGACCGACTGGCGGCTAATTAGAATATCAAATAGACATACATCCTACTATTCACTATTTCATTCGTTAACATGAAAATGCGATACCAACTACGATCCATGTCAAGGTAAACTGGACTAAATTATTTTATTTATTCCATATTGCTATTGAAAATCCAATCGATAATCATTATATATCAATGATATATTCACTTATATGTGAAATTGAGCATATTCATATTTCGATTCGAAAGTACTTTGGATTTGAATCTCATGCTTTTTTTTAATATTCCTTGATATAAATATGGCATTTAGAACAATACAATATATTGATGAAACTCGAAACGTTTCAAATGCTCATCTGCATATAAAATACAATTATTAAATTATTATCCATGTAAAGCATTCCCAGTGATTACCCAGAATTCATTTCCCATATTTACTATGTTAATGTTTTTAAGTCACTTAGCCACAAGCTACACCCACAACCTGAATTTTATAACGATCAGTTGTTGTTGCCTTTGTTCAAATAATATAGCAATCTACACTAGTTATTATTACTTATCAATTTATTTTATTTTGTGTATTATTCTTTGTATTACAGATGTGAGTAAGCGTATTCTGGAAATTTGAGGACATTTTTAATGGTTTCAATTAATATAATGGTATTGGCGTTTAACTTATTTACGTAGCTCTATCTCCTATCCCACAATTCTTCGATATCATTACTGATGTTCTTGTAAAAATTATTCTGGGGTCGAATTATGACACTTGATACCACTAGTTTCATAGTTTTTCGTTAAATATAACTCACAGTGACGGGTTTCTTTCTTTATGTGCTGATAATAATTAAACACAATAGTTGTATTTAGGTTATATAAATGGACACATTGGGAATATGTGTAATGTTATTTTGTGATGTATGAGAATATTAGAGCTTTGAGAGACTGTTGGTAAAATTGTATAATTTTTTTATATTATACAAAAAAAAAATTGAACAAAATTTTCAACGGGGGGGGGAGTATCCCAAGAAATCGGTAATAAATGTGAATAATCCACAAGGTGACCGAGTCAGCCTGAATTACCACAGAATTATACGTGAATGACAGAGCTTAAAACTCACTGCATTTGGTGTCTGAATTATCTTTCCAACCATGTCCTTCTTATCTTCATTTGACTATGGCAAAGAAAGTCTACCAGCTGACGGAAAGAGGAATATAAAGAATATATCTGTTGTTGTTAAAACCAAGATTTATAGAACCGCCTGTGGTTCTGGTGTAACCAGATAGAGCTACTGAACTCGTGATGATCTGATCATGAGAATAATTGTGTAACAGCCACGGCTACACTGACATGTTTGACTGCAAGGCTTTGGGTAGTCTCCTTGGCTGATATATTTGTTGTGACAAGAGGATGGGTTTCTCTTGACTCAAAAGTACTATATGTGACGTGTCATCTGTGTGTTGTTTGATAATCTCCCGAGTATCACTAATATCAGGAGAGATGGGAGTATGTGTATGTATCAATATTGTCCCAGTTGCATCCAATTTCATGGCAAGAGGTACATGTCACAAACACCGGTCTTTGGTTGTCCAATAGTGTGGCAAAATGATTGTTGGATGGTTCCTGCCAAAAATTGAACAGTTTACAAATGAGAGAGTGCATTGATTATGGTATTGTCAACCCCAGTGATGTGATTGTCTAGTCGAGAATGACCACTGTCAAACTGTTCAAGGGCCTGTACCTTGTTGAAATATTGATGTGGGGGTAGAAATGTAGAGAGGTCTAACTGAACCAATTTCAAATCCTTCCAGTTGATAAGTCAAGCTGAACGGTGTTCAAAAGACGCTGGTTCTGGCGATCCGTCCCCCATCCCCTAATGCATCTGTCAAAATGGACACTGTTGTTAGGGATTGTCAGAAGGGCATTCTGATCAATTACGAAACTACCAGTGAGCACATCGACCCGACTACCAACAAGATTAACCACTCTACCACCTGCAAACTACCGGGACTTGTTGACGTTTCAACAAATGGCCCATTAAACTAGAGTCTCTTTTCACCTGGCCTGCAGGCAGACTGGGATGTATATGTACCGGGGTTATCTGGAGTATCTGTAATGAGTATTATATTTACTTAAAATAATTATTCTACCGTAAAATTAGACACAAACTATTGACTGTTTTTTTGGCATAATTATTTAATGTAATTACATAGTCATAATTGACATGTTAATTATAGAATAATTATAACAACATTTATCAAGACAATAGTAGTAATATTGCTTAATTTACTGATGGTGATGAGTGCAAATACTCGATATAGTCTAGGCACCAAACTAGTGCACATGTAATTCAGTTGTCGGGAGCAATTATTAATCATTATTAGCCAGGTACCAAAATAGTAGCATATATTATTCAGCTATCGGTAGCCGTGATTAATAATACAAGCCGGTAGGCTGGTTGGCAATCCGCTCCGCTCAAAAACAAGCAACACGTTTTTGGTTGTTTCCGTGGTGTGACATAAATGTGAAGCTAACGTCGGTTTACAACTAAAAGTCACTTAGTTTATTACTAGGACGCATTCTGCTGTTACATTTATTATTTCCAACCGTTTGCGATAGTATTTTCTAGAATGAAGGCAGCATTTACAGTTCATTCAAAGTTCAAAGTTGCGTTGGGATTACATTGATACAGTGTAACAATGTCGGCGCCGGTGATCTCCTACCAGTGCGCAACGTAGTCATAATAAAAAGCATGGTCATTTGAACACTGCTAATACAAAACTGGTAGGAGGTAATACATTTTGGGCGAAAGTATTCAAAAATCAGTTTTTGGATGTTGCAATGGCAGTGACGGTAAGACCTACCTGTGAAGTGTGAACAAAATCAGCTGAGCCGAAAAAAAATCACAGATGAGTTAAAAGCCGTTGCTGGTGAAAAGTTACCCCAACTTTGGGATAAAATTTCTCGGTAATGAAAAATAATATCAAAAATTGTAATAGTAACTTTGTGCCAGAACTCAAGCTGAGTAGAATGAGTTATGCCTGAAGTGTTTTATTCTGAATTTGTAGGTGGAGATACATTTGGCGCGAAGCTATCCAACAATCATTTTTTTTGGCTGTTGCTATGGCAACGGTGGACCAAAAGGAAATTTTCAGATTTTTCCTAATAACTAGGGTGAAGGTGTGACCTACCTGCCAAGTTTGGGCGAAATCGGCCAAGCCAAAAAAATCACGGAAGAAATAATACGTGAAAACACTGGAAATCACACAAACAAAACTACAAACGTGATTACAAGCCGGTAGGCTGGTTGGCGATCCGCTCCGCTCAAAAACAAGCAATATGTTTTTGACTGTTTCCATGGTGACATAAACGTAAAGCTAACGTCGGTTTATAACTAATACGAAGTTCGCAAACACCATTCAGTCTTTAGAAGTCACTCAGGGGCGTCGATCCATTCTGAAAAGTGAGGGGGACACTTTTGTATACACAGTATACTTGTGTCAAACTTAATCTGACGCATTTAGCCGTGCGTGACCTTTTACTACCTTGATATAACCAGGATGTCCTGTGGGTTAATACCGGAAATCCAACTGTAGTGTAGTCCGGCCATGATGCTCGAAAGTCCGTGAAGGTCCACCATATCTTGCATAATGTTATCGGATAATTATCAGAGAATTATCAAACAATGTTGCCCATTGTATCATTCTAATAGTTCGACAATTATTTGACAATATCCGTGTCAGTTGGATGTGGTTCCAACCTTAAATCCTCCGATTGCTTAACTATCGAAGTTTTAGATCGATAATTATCGGAGAATTATTTTACCTTTTTTATGAAAGTTGTACTTCGATATTCATCAGTCGCGGAATTGCAATGTTGCCGTTTACATCCGGTAGCACCTTTCCAAGTTTATCTACATATTAATTAAAATCATTTATATATTTATTTATTATGCGAGAGATGAATAGGCACTGCATTTTGCATTCCGTAGTGTTTGCATAAGTTTTTGAGATTGCCAAAAAATACAAAGGTTTCATTCACACTATCTCTTTCCATTCCTATATTGTGTGTTTTCGGCCAACATTCCTTGTTTACCTCCACACGTTATACGTTTTCCTATCAATCTAAGACATTGATAGGTCTCAGAGAATTCCATGTTTAAAAAAATTAAACCACCACCCACCCTGTCTAATATCAATCTAAAACATCGAAAATTATCAGATATTTATCCGATAATTCAAATGTACAATAGGCCGCCTTCCTTCAATGCGAGGATATTGCACAAGTTTATACTACCTGCAAATTTGATGCATAATTCATCGTTTAAGGTTAAGGTCCATATTAGACAGATTTCCTTAAAGAAGTCAGAAAGCACTATTATATTCCATTCTTCGTTGTTCCATTGCATTGTTCTGATATTCCTCTTTATTCTGAAAATATTCCCATATGTTACACTCATAAATTACAGTTGGTATAATACACAATTTAAATACTTATATCTGCCAAAACATGTATATCCCGTATTTATACTTTACATTATTTCTTCAATATCCTTCGTGTTCTGCAGATGTATTTGAAACTGCCTATTCGCTCAATTGTGCAGTCGTCGA